ACAAAGTAATATTAAACCGACCAAGAAGGCCGGCGATGTTCATACACGCAATAAACGGGCACGCAGGCCCAAAGTACAAATTCAAATATCAAGGGCACGCAGGCCCGCTATCCAAAGAATACAAATCAAACTTCCGCATTATCACCACTGTCGACGCAGGGAGAGTCGGGCGGGGGAATGATCGCGCCACCGACAACCCGATGAGTGTGCCCGATACCCTCGGTGACCAAGCCGGGATTTAGCAACGAGAGCTGGTCGACGGCAGAATTGAACCCGTCTTCCAGGGCACCGACTGCGTCCTCCTCGAGGTTCCGGATATGAGCAATAAACTCAGCCCGACTCTTCAAAGCCATTAGGTCCTCGGGCTCATCTTCGGCGGGTTGTTGAGCAGCATTCAGTTCCTCGACCTGCTTGCCCAGGCGTTCGACTTCAGCAGCCAAACGATCCCTATCGGCCCGGAGCAACTCCCCTTCCTCGGTCAACCGCCCCGACTTCTCTTTCTCCAAGGTCAGCGCCTCCCTCTCGGCGTCAAGTATCGCGGTCTGCTCTTGGAACATCCCCTCGGAGCGTTCCAGAGCGACCTTCAACTTCCTTGAGCTCGCAGTCAAAGCCGCCTTCTCCCGCTCGAGCTCTTCAACACGAGCAGCATCCCCTGCGTCTTCAGACAATACCAGAGCCATTTCAGCCATTTTAACCAACCCGTCCACACTGGCGACCAGCCGCGACCGCCTCTCCTCTTTAGTCATCCTCTTTATGGCCTCGGCTTCATGCGCGACCACGGTCGGGGGAAACCGCTCGAAAAAACCCTCCTCCTCGATGCAAGGGGGAAAGGCAAAGGATTGAACGGGGCCGGTATCTTCCCCGACAGTTGGACCGCCTTCCACGCGGGTCCTCTTCCTATGTGTCAGAACGGCTTCGGCATCAATGACCTCGACATCTGGATCTGACGTCGCCCCCGAGCTCGACGTCGAATCCACCCTCACAGGCTGAGAAGCGTTCAGATTTGTCGGTGGACCCATTCTCGTCATCTGAGGGGCCGGCACGACCTTCTTGTTTCGCCTCTGGCCGGTTGACAATTTCAGGAGCCTCTCATGTCGGCTGGCCATCGTACCTGCACGAAGTAAAAGAAAAGTCAGTATCGAGCAAAACGCGTAAATAAATGACGAGTAAAGAATTTCAAACAAACAACCTAACAGGCGGGCTGCCTCCCTATAGGTCGAGCATTCCACCAACGCCTTGGTATCAATCGGGCGAGCCTCGAATATCGGGTAACCGTCCTTGTCGAGGATGTCATTCCCTTCCCGTGTAACCCACTGGGCGGGATGAAAACCGTCGACAAAGTTACAGAGAGCCGCATACGCCCGTTGATCCTCCGTGCACATGTCCCCGACTGCAGTGTGGAAGTAGCCGGTTCCATTCTGGAAGTGTCGAGACATCCAGTACACCGGGAACTTAGCCCGACGTCCTAGTACGGGGCTCCCGTCATCGGTCACCATGGCCTCCCCGTCATCATCGCTGACCGGCCCTTCCTCCTCGAAGAGGGAATCCACAGCAGAGTCAGTGATAGGGTGTACCACATACCACTTATCCTTGAACCCCCTCACAGAGTCCATGTACATCCTAAACAGTCTCCTCGACTGCTTCAAGGACACCCAGCTGTGCTTCCCTCCTCGGGACTGGCGCTGTAGGTGGAAGACCCTAAAGAAGAGAGGGATGGTCGCCCCTATCCTTAAGTAGCGGCACGTCAGCTCAAACGCCCGGATGAAGGCGAGAGAGTTAGGGTGTAGCTGGGACGGGGCCAGCTCCAAATGCGTAAAAACCCCGGTCTCAAAGTCTGTGAAAGGCAGCCGCAAACCCAAGTCCTTAAACGCGATCTCGTACATCGCAAAACTGTAGTCCGGGTACATCGAACAAATTCTGGCAGTGGTCGCAGGCAGCATGACCTCGAAATTCGGTTGAAAGTCGGGCTGGTCCTGCCCCCCTTCAATAGCGATGAACGGATGTCGGTCATCCCGACTGTATATCGACGCCGTCCCCCGAGGCTCGGCGCCCACCCATTCCAGCGATGGGTCGGTCACAGTGTCTATAAGGTTGGCCGACTCGTCGGCACTTTGTTCTTCGCTGTCACGACGACCTGAGGAGCTCGGCTCATCCGCCATGGTTACCTGCAGAGCACGGGAAACCAATCAGATTGAGCATGAAGCCCTATGCTCGACATAATCATGTCGTCCATACACTACCACAAGTCCATTTTCACAAGTGGATGCCTCCCCGACTCTCCTGAATCCAGTGTTCCTCCACAAACCAACTGCGCGGCCACTCTTCAAGCATGTCGATCCGGGGTATGAACATGGCGAGCCGCATTATGAAGCCCACGGCCACGACCATAAACATACCGGGCACCGGCATGAATCAGGCGCCCAGGATCATGAATGCCCCGGGCAGCTCTGAAGTTTTCACCTAAAACTAAGAACGTGTCGGCCACAAGTATGCGTTTGCCGGTCCTAGACGTAAATCTGTCGGGCAAAACACGAGTTTACCGGGCTAATCCCACATTAACGGTCCTAAAACATCCACAATTTCCTAGAATCATGCATTCTAAAACAAGAAAATAAAGAAAATGGATCACTTACTTGGATCAAGGTTGAGATTCGGCTAAGAAATGAAGAATCTGAGACGGGAAGTCACGGTTGGAGAGAGTGTTGAGAGTTGCAACGAAGAGAGCACGGAGAACAGAAAGCGTATTATGGGGCCCAAAGACCCTATTTATAGGGATGGCGTGGGATACCAAACGTCACCTCGTTCAGCCACGGACTCCGTCTCCTCGACGCACTGCACCCAACGCAATGATGGCCCTACCCCCCTAGGGTGGCGGCACAACTCCCGAAAGATGCCTCATGTGCTCGACTGACGCGCCCGGTACGGATCCTCCACGCATCCACCACCGACGACGCCTCCGAGCACGTCACGAGGAGACCCCTCGAGGGTCCACGCCTCCATTCCGGGCACGAGACCTCAGCGACTGAACAACTTGGTTTCAAGTCATGGCTCCTCGCAAAGGAACCACGACTTGGGGGGCTCCTGTTCTGGACTGGGCCCGACATGCCCAAAAGCATTACTAAGGCCCAGTCCAATGGGACTCACCAAGGACCACAATGGGCAAAGGCCCAATCCAATAAGACTCACTAAGGACCACAACGTCCATGCCCGACACCCTGATGTCCACCTCGACATCTCAGTGTCCAGTCCGCGCTACGAAGTCACGCTCGACAGACTGCCGTTCAGCTCTATGCCCTGGCTTCCAGCTCGACATTCGCTGTCCAGCTCGGGGTCTTGGCGTCGAGGTCGACACCATGCTGCACTGCTCGACATGGACTCGAGCTACCTTGCTAGGGCAGACTTAGTCCTCTATTGCCCCAACGATACTCCGTAAAGACCGCGTCTCTGTCCGCCCGCACTTCACGCAGCACCTCCAGGAAGGGGATCACGTGCTGATCCCCACTACCCACGTAGAACCTGGCAGTTCCTCCATTGGGCCAAATTCGCCCGGCCCAATGAAGGAACCTTGGCCCAGCGCTGGGGGCTATAAATACCCTCTGTTTCCAGAGGGTCAGGTAATCATCAATTCTAACCTCAACTCTATTATCTGCTAGTACTCCCACTGACTTAAGCATCGGAGTGCCTTGCAGGTACCCCCCCCTCCTCGTTCAAAAAGCCTTCAGCTCGGAGCAGCCGTGACGGTCCAAACCTTCTGATCAGGTGAGATCAGAAAACCATTGAAGAGTGGAGTAGACAAGCGAGGATGAACATCGAACCACTATATATTCCATTGTACTTTCTCTCTCTCACACACACACATACACACACACGCGCGCGCACACACACACTGTTACATTTAATTTTTCGTTGGATATTGCATACTTAGATTTTCAATTCTTAGTATAGTTTATCGTTTATTCAATTGGTAGCGTAAGTGATTGAATTCCCAAATATATAACAATATTAGAAGATGTATATTAAAAATTTTAAGATAAAAGATGATACTATAAAATTAAATATCGTTATGCATTGTTTTTTTCCTCCTTCAACGCAATTGAAAATTCACTTAAACTAGCAACCACAAAATTATAAACAACAAAATCTCAACTATACGTATCAAACGAATCCAAATAGTCAAATTGCTTAATAAATCTCACAAATACCTTAGTAAGTAGAACTCGACAAATGTAAATCTAGCAAAATTAACTAATCTATGTTTAAAAACCATTATTTTGAAATAATATGTGTAATATAAGTGTACATGTGGTGTCAAAGTATCATTTTTGTTTTAACATTCTCCTTTTAATATCTCTCTCTTCTTTTTATCATGGATTAGTTAATCGATTAAAAAATTGAGCAATGTTGTTAGCAAAACATAAGACACATAATTTTTCTTTGTTCTTTTGTTAAAATTTAATAGGACCCTTAAATTACATGAGTATCCAAGTAAATAATGACTAAAAAAAATGTTAATCTTGTTCAAAAAAATGTTAATCTTGCCAAAATAACTAAATATAAATATAATTAATGTTTTAAAAAACAATCGCAATTTCAATTAGTACAAATATATTATAGTCATCACGGTGTAAATTAATCATAATTTATTATTTAATATAAAAAATATTAAAAACATTAATTTTTTAAAATTATTTTATCACAGTGCAAACCTGTTTTTTAAAATCCTAAATATAATATATTGCTGTACAATTAAATCAACTCAATTGATAAATATATCTTAATGAACACTTGAAAAAGAATATGTTGCTAGTTTTTTCTTTTTGGAAATATTGCTAGCACTTTTTAATTTAAAAAAATTAATAAGCAATGGAAAGATTTGTAAAATTTAAAAGTAAAAGGGCCGAGTAAAAAATCCATGGGAACAAAGTTGGGCGAGAAAGGTTTGGGAGGTTCATTTTGGCTTTAGCTAGCATCCTCCGCAGAATCAAAATTCTGATCGTACAATGACGAACATCCTTCTACGCGCCGCGACTCGTGGTGGTTCCCTACGCGCCACCTTGACCAGACGGTTTTCCACCGACGCATTGGTCGAGGCCAAACCAGGCGAGATCGGATTGGTTTCCGGAATCCCTCAAGAACACCTTCGTAGAAGGGTATTATACTTTTCCCCCCTTTCAATTCCCTAGTTCACTTTCGCATTTATAACGCTCAATAAGTTTAGAAAACCCTAGCATTCGTTCATTTGTCAATCATATTCTCTAATTTTCTTATAATTGTTTCATTATTAGGGGTAAAATAGATTTAATTAAAGCTTTGTTTAGTTTGTTTTTATTACAGGGTAATTTCTATATAACAACTTTGATGCATCATTAGATCCTATTTAGTGGACCCATTAATTTCTTGCTGATAATTGAAACTCAATTAGTTTATTGTATTGTACTTGCAATGTGTTGGCAGGTTTTGATTTACTCTCCTGCTAGAACGGCTGGTCAACAAGGATCTGGGAATGTTGGAAGATGGAGGATCAACTTCTTATCAACCCAAAAGTAATTTATCCCTTTTACCATGTTTCTTTCACCGCTTGTTTAGACATGGCTTTGTTATTTTTCTCTAATTAGTTTGACGTGTCTGCACTGGATATCTGTTGTTCATAATCATATGTGTCTGCACTGGATATATGTTGTCCATATATATCCCCAGCTTTGACAAATTTTGTATGCCTCAACTAATAGTTACTGTCAACTAATATGTCAATAGGTGGGAAAATCCACTGATGGGGTGGACATCCACCGGGGACCCGTATGCCCATGTTGGTGATTCTGCCTTGGATTTTGATACTGAAGAAGCAGCAAAGGAATTTGCAGAGAGACATGGTTGGGAATATGCGGTATGTTTTTACTACTGAAATATATAACTTTTTCGTGTCTTCTAAGTCTTCAAAGTGCCCTAGTTATGATCTGAACTTCTTATTTCAGTAAATTGTTATCAGGTGGATTTGTTAACCTTATCTTGCTCATGCCTTAATTAGGATATTAACTTAAAATAACAATCTCTAGGATGATGTTTTCCATATAGTCTCGGCAATTTAGCTTACAAGAATCTGCATATCTTGTTTCTCAAATGATTGGGATAATTTATCTTTGAACTGTGCTTGTTAGTCAGTTTATTTCAACTTTCAAGAGTCTGCTAAACAGAAAAGCTTACTTTTAAGTTTATATGCATGATTTTTCGCCTGAGATGAAAGCTGGACTGCATCTGGAACAGATATGACCAGATTGCATCTGTTAGAAACAGTTAAGGGATAGACATGGCCTGAGATGGATCTATACCACATCCAGGATAGGACTGGTAAGTTAATGCTGCATCTAGAACATAAGTTGGGGTTGGTTTGCATTCAAATAAAGACAAGGCAGAGCATCGGCTCAAGCCATCCTGCATCTAGGACTAGTATGAGACTAGAGCGCATATGAAACAAAAGCTGAGCCTAAGAGTGCCGGGGACCCAAGGTTGTCAAGATTGGGATCTTGCATAAGATCGGGAGGGGATAGTAAGATCGTAAAACTTAAGATCATAACTAAGATCAAAAGATCCTACCCAATTATTTTTGCTAGATCAGGAGGGGGTAGCAAGATCGTAAAATATAAGATTGTAACAAAAATCGTAAGGTATTACTAAAATGAAAAAATAATACTATATTTTGAAGTTTGTTTTACATGATATTTTGGTAGGCAAGTGTATTTGTGGAAGAATGACCTCCGTCGAACCATAATTGTTGTACCTCGGCATCTTATCGTCCTTCTCGGCTTGTAATGGTGATCGGAAAATGGTCCATTGTGGCTGGAACTGGCCATGATCGCACATTAATCAATGGTTTTACGATTTTTTTTTTCACAAATTGGCTACAACACGCTATTCTACTTAAAATCGGAACCTTGGGGGTGAGTGGGATCGCAAAATTGTAAGATTCTATGATCTTGATCGTCATTTTGACAACCTTGCTGGGACCTATATTTGCGCTTGAGACCTTAATACTTTATTCGGCCAATTCAAAAACTAGCTATCGAAATCAGTCAATTGGACGGATAACATTACTTTATTACTTCGGTGCAATAGATGTGAAGTGTTTAAATTAAGGAGTAGTTGTGCTTTAAGTCTTTTTTTGGATAGAGCCGATGCTGGGTAAATTGTAAGACCAAAGAACTCGAAGGGTTGTGACTTCAAGCAACCAGACGACAATTGCCTACAGCAAAACCGAGATTGCTAACTTCTAAAGTGGAAAGAGAAGGTGCCAGTGAAAATTGGCACTGAAGGAATGACAAACAACACCAAGAAGGTGGTGGGTGAAAATTGGCACTGAGGTGGGCAACCACAACCTATTGCCTAAAAAGTGCTGGTTGGGTTTCCTGTCCCATCATCTCCTGGGCACCCCAAAAAAAAGCTGATTGGTTTCCAGCTAACAAAATTAAACAAGCAGCAGCCAGCAATGCTTATTGATGCCCAGGAGGTGGCTCATGACCTACATGTGTCAACAAGAAGAGCCACACACAGCGGTGCTTTCTGTGAATTGTCAGATGAGAGGTTCTTGGACACTTTGCACCATCACTCTAATGAAGTTTTTTTTTTTGGATAGGTGATCTAATATTTGATTGTTCTTGAAAGAGAGGAAGAAAGAGAAAACATGTTTGAAATATACCCAAGTGGGACAAACCTGTCTAAGGATATAGAGAAGATGTTAGCAGCAGCGGTCAGCGAAGTCAATTGACGAAAATGAACCAAAGAGAGTAGGGATAACTATTTGTCACAGCCAACAAAAATGCGAAAGACAGCCTTTGAAACATTATGTACTAAACAAAAGAGTTCTAACTCTTTAGAATTCACCAGCAAAATTATTACGATCTATCATTAGAATACAACAAGAGCAGTTGTTAGGTTAGTCCTTTAGTCAGATTAGTTGTTTAGTTTTTTTAAAGCGATTATATTTATACAGAATTGTTAGACAAATAAAGGGAAATCAGATTAAGGAAGGGGGTGTTCAGTATATTTGGCAAATTTGCAAATGAAAGGAGAAGACATTCAGTATATTTGGCAATTTGCAAATGAAAGGAGAGGGCATTTAGTATATTTGGAAATTTGCAAATGAAAGGAGAGGGCGTTCAGTATATTTGGCAATTTGCAAATGAAAGGAGAGGGCGTTCAATTATACACTACTATTCTTTTAATTTCTCCCATCTTTTTTCGATTCAATCTCACGGGGTTTATACGTCCGAACTGCATTTTTTCTTCACATGAAGTCTCACATCAAACTCTATAGTTTTTGGTGTTATTTCTCAAGAAAATTGTTGTCAGTGATCGTTCCCAACTCGCGACCTCCACAAGTAGATGGCCCAACTCTGCCATTTGGGCTGGTCCATCCATTGGTTTTGATTTTGGAAAATGCAGATCGTGAACACATCTTGGGCTGATTTCATGACCGCATTGATTAGGAGGTTTTTGATGGTCATGTAGAGGGGAGTGTGTATGAGCAGCTTACAACTATTTTGACAATCATCCGGTAGGAGTACATGCTTAGTTTTGAAATCTGGTGGCTCAAGGCACTGGAATTTCAGAAGAATGGCTTCTTGATTGGTTTTTGGTTGTCTGAAACCAGAGTTCAAATGTATTATTCATACACATGATCCACAGGACTTTAAAAGAGCTATTAACTTGACTAAAGATATTGAACCAGAGTTGTGAGTAGTGCTTTTTTTTTGGGGCGGGAGGGGGGAGTAGGAATCAATGGGGGCACCATCCAGAGAGAATTGATGGGAAAAAAAAGGAGTTTTGAATGCAGTCTCAACCACCATGGACAGTTACCCGTTTTCAGGGTGGAGGGAGCATTGTGTTACTGAGGGCTTACATAGGCCAATTGATCAACAGTCTGGTCCAACCTATTGGAGCACTTTGGGTCCAATCTTCAATTCAGACAGGAGTACAAAAGGAAAAGATTGTCACCGTGCCATCAACCTCCATCCAGCGCTACTAATGCCGTCCTACCAAAGAACAGAAGAGCCGGATGACTTCCTTCTGAAGAGTATGCCACAGGACGAGAAGATGTTTTCACTGGGGAGGCCAGCCATTTGGTTTGTAACAATCTGATAGTAGCCATGGGAATATACAAATGTCTAGAAAAAATTTGTGGGGACTATCTTAGCAGAAGATGAACAAAGAATTATGTTGGATGTCATGATAATTGTTTCACAACTCTGTCACGAAGGCCGTTGTGGGAACATACAGCCATATTACTCACTATACCCTCCATGTTTTCTCACATAGACCCTAATTAATTGACTAATTCACAATTTGCGAGTGATCGGTGAAAATAACCATCGTCAGGGCAAGGTGCATTTTTTTGGGGGTGGGGTATTATTGATTCATTAGGATACAATAAGGACAGCTATTTGGTTTTTCCATTAGTTAGATTAGAAGTTTAGTCTGAAGGAATTAGAGAAAGTTTAAGCACATTTGACAACTTGCAATTGGGACAATTCTATTCCTATTTTTTTCTTTCAATTTTCATAATACACCACTATTCTCTTGATTCCTTCTATATTTCTTTCAATTCAATATCGCATGGTTTGTGAAGCGATGAGAATAATTCATGGAGGATGGTAATGCATTGATATCATGTTGAAATATAAGGATGTAGGTTCAAACGGAAAGTGAAACTGATTGATTTGTTGTGATAAGAAGTAGTAGAAGTCACTTAATTCTAATTAAATATGAAATAAATAGAAACCATTTCTAATAGATTGTCTAAGGAGAAATGATATAGCTACACCACAATTGACATATACACCATATTTTCTTACGGTACATTTTACATAATTTATTTATTATTATTTGGTAAATTGAAGTTTGTGCCACAACTAAAATAAAACATAACAAATACGGTGTAAAGTTACAGTACAGTGTAAGGCTTTTGGTGTAATCATAGCATGTCTCTTATCTAAGATAACACCCATGCCTGTATATACATACCGTATAATCTACTACTCCGCCTCATTTATAAGCAAAAAAGACAAATTTCACGTTTATTAAGAAAGACAACTGAGTGTATTTACTTTTCTTGATTTCATGTAAGAGATAATATAATTACTAGTATACCCTCAATTAAATTATCTTCCATTAACAATATTAAGTAATTAATGCAGAGATAATCTTGTAATACAAATATTAAATGCACCTTAATTTGTGAATATTTGCTTATATTTAAGGCCAAAAAAATTTGGAAGTCTTTTCCTTGTAAATAAGGCCCGAGGGACTACTTTTTACTTTATTTTATTACTTTTTTATATACCTTGGAAAATGTGCCTCAATCAAAATGAAATTTTATTGCTGTTAAAATATCATTGCTGTGTAATGTTCTTTATTAACAAATGCTTTGATCTTTTTGCAGGTCAAGAAGCACCGCACACCATTGCTGAAGGTTTGAGCATCATCCATTTTCACCGTGATTTTAGTAATTTAAATGATAATGACACTAGTTTATCTCACAACTTGTGCCTGCTTTGTGCCATTACTAATAATAATCATTTAACTCGTGATTGTAGGTTAAGTTATATGCTGACAACTTTAAATGGAAGGGTCCGCCAAAGGCTGCTGAACAGTGATTTACTGTTTGTATTGTTCATGCGTTTTATCTTCAGGAGTTTCTTAGTCTTTTCTCTGCATCCTTTCCTGGGAGGGAGAAAGTTAAAATGTGAATTTCTGATTTAAAATAAATGGGACTGAACTGCCTTTGTCTTAGCTTTCCTATGTCATGTTGATAACTATTCACCTCACCTGCATCTGTTGATTATTTTGAACCATGATCCTCCCCGTTTATATGTAAACGGCAGTACCCAGGGAACGAGTAATATTTTTTGTTTTATTAAAGGGGATTTCTTAACCTCTCTCATAGTTTTCTAGCGCACCACGCTAAATTTCAAAAAATTTCAAAAATACATCTGAAAATCAGAAATGTATTTTCGGTACACGCACACACATATAATTAATTTGTTTTTGAGATTCGTCTCATTTTACTCCAAAATTTATTTCGGAAATTTTCGAAAATATACTTCAGATAGTGCAACACATTCCATCTCACTTTTAGACTTATTAATTTTGTGCATGTTCCACTTTTGGCAGCTAACATTGTGCATGTTAGTAATAGTAATATATATAAATTTTTGAAAGTGAGTTTCAAAAACAAATGAATTATGTGTGTTTCATGCAATTCGGAATTGTATTTCTGATTTTACTTGTGTCTGCTTTGTACCAATACTAATAATAATGTGTTCTTCCTCGTCGTGTTTTCTTATCCAATTCTGGTGGTAATAAAATCCATTAACATTCAATAATTTATCCATTCAATCCATCCAACAAAAAACAATTTCATAAATTTGATCAAATCTATCCATTAAATCATATGGTCCATCTCATTTTCTAAATTCATTGTATATTATTTATTACTTACCAAATAAAATATTTTATTAAAAAATATTTAACATTTAAATTAAACAAATTTTCTTTTGTTAAAACACAAAAAGAAAAGAAACATTTAAAAAAAAAAAAACATCTCTCACATTCCACTTCTCCTCACATTTCATGGAACGTGATAAAAACCCTAATTTGCACGTTTCCTCAATTTCTTTTTCACATTCTAACACTAGCTATTTATCTCAATGTTTTGGTACTATAACCACAATTTATGAAATGTTTTGGTTCTACAATCGCAATTCATCTCAACATTCTGGGCTATAGCATTGCACATTCAAATAAGCACCAACCATTTCTCATAATCTTTGTCTCCTCTGTTGGATATTCTCTTTAATTAACTGTTTAATTTCTCTTCGGCGATGGTCACATCTAATTTTTCTGCGTTTTCTACTTTAAAGGTAAATATAGAGTATTTTCTGGAAAAAAGCTCATGAATGAGTAGATTCTAAATTAACTATAAAATATTTGAGTGTTACTCGTATTTTTTTTTTTTTGCAATTAACTAGAACGTGACCCATAATCACCATAGTTGTTTTGATCAAAATTCTACGTTACCGGAAAATTTGAATAAGTTTATGTGTGAGTTTCCTCAACGATGTGAAAATTTAATTCGTATTTACTCTATTGGTATTCAAGTTCTTTTAATCAAATAAGAACCTAGTTTGTATGCTTTCAGAAACTTAATCTTAAAGATTTTCTCGATTTCCTTCACGATTTTGTTTTCAATTTTTGATGTTTACATGTGCATGATCATCAGAAAGTAACGTTCTTAACATTGTAACTAAAGAGATGTCATCTCAACATGTCGTTATTTCTAGCTAGCATATTTAATTCAAATGCACCAAATTTTATTTGTAAAGTTTTGTTTAGAGTTTAAATATTTCAATGTTGTTTTTGTGGTTGATTTGCTTGGGTGGAATCAAGGTTTGATATAATCTTGCTTGAGCAGCTTGAAAGGTATGGAAAAGTACTGCCTTGCCTTAAATTGTCGAGTCCTTGAAGAAATTTGTGTCAACAGGAGTTCAGAAACCACTGATGATCTTGAGATGTCATGCCCCATTGTTTAGAACTCTGAAATAGACCGCCTATGAAAAGATTTGCATAAGATTGATTAGATCTTGAGGATTTTTGCCTTGATAGAACCTCTTGAAGAGATTTTCCCCTGATGGGATTAATTACAAATAATGAAACACCTTGAACGATTTCACATTGCTGGAACTTTCTTGGTGCCAAGTGCTGACTTGCAGATGAAGTTGTTCTTTTGAAATGGTAATTTTAATGCAGCGGGCATGCAAATTTCGAAACAAATCATTTATTGAAATAATGTGGTGGTATATAACAAGTAAACCACTGATGAGGATACAATAGTATGTTTGAAAAAGATGATGTGATAACACATTATCAACATAAATGATTAGCAAACATCTAGGAGTCAGGTTAACGCAACCTTGTTATAGTATGATTTTTAAAGAAAAAAGACTTGCTTCAATTAGGTCAATTGAATGTTGTAACGTGGCCCGATTCATGGTTTATGAAACAAAGGATATAAGGTTCAAATTTTTATTTTATACCACCCTATTCTTAATTATGTTCTCCAGTCCTATGTTCAGTTAGTCGACACACGTATTCAATTTCTAAGAGGATTTGCAGGTGACAGTGTGATGGTTTGAGAACCAATGGATCTTTGAGGTGGCGGTCACATGTTCTTGCTTTGGAAGTTATACAAGATTGTTCCTGTATTCATATTTGGTCAAGGATCTTTGGTGATCTCTTTTCTAATTTGATTTTATTGTCTTGTGTCCCTGATTTCTGGCTGGACTACTTCTTTTGAGATTTCAATCCAGCGGGATACCCTAATTTTTGCCTAAGTCATTTGATGTTCTCGACATAGCGGGTTCTTATTTTTTATTTTTTCCATTTTTTTTTAAAGAACAACTTGCATGATGTTTGTTCACTTTATCTGAGAATTTGCTAATTGTGACTACCATGTTGATGGTTCAAAAGAAACAACCGTTGTAAGCTTTGGACTTTTACGACTTCTTCGACATTACGTATAAAGAGATGACGTGGTTGAACCTCTTGTGGAAAAATACCTAGAATATTTCTCATGGAGATGGAATGAATCTCTTGGAATTTGAATGTGTTAGTCAATGTAACTGAACAACTACCATGCCCCTTAAGATTTAGGGTTTCAATTTCATGTAGAAATAAACTCCTACTTCTAGGCTCAAAGGGGTTGAGGAGGGATTTTATTTCTTATATCTCTAGTGTTTGGGATTTGAAGCAATTCATGTATATTATCAGGAGAGTTTTATTCGAAAGCATATTGTTGCAATTTGGATATTTTTTTCATATTTCTCCCTCTAATATTTGCTTAAACAGATAGCTGATAAAGAAAGTGAAGTGGAGATACCAATGATATATTTTGTTTTTTGTTTATGTGATAAAATTAAATAAATGCGAGTGAACATGGTATGATGAATTCAAAAGATGCAATGCTCGTTTCATTAAAATTATGATTGAAAACAACAATGTTCGAATGCAAAATAACAAATTACAAACAAGAAAATTGCAACATGAACATGGTAAAAGGCCTAACGACTAAGCAGCATGGACGA